AACAAATATAACACATATGCTAATTTAGCAACCTGACAAAAACCCAGAAAATGGTTTGAACAATTTTACAATATTCTACTAGTGCTTTGTGGATTGCCGCTAAGACAGACAAAAGAACTGTCTTAGTACCACCAAGGTGATGCATCAACATGTTTCAGCAAATAAAAAATGCCCTATCATTCTTTCAGCTGCTTAAGTATTTATAGTTCATGGTAAAATAGAGAATTTTATAACTGGTCTCCAAGGTCCACCAGTTATCTTGTGAAAAATCACAATCTCAGGAATTCTTTTTTTTAGAAACTACATGAGAAGTAAAGATAAGTTAGTATGACCTTTCTGGAGGACAATATAGCAATACAGATAAAAAAAAATTAAACTGATTTAACAGTTGTGCTCTAGATCTTTATCCTGAGAAAGTAACAGATGCACAAAGATTGCTCCACAAGGATCTTCGTCATTATGAAAACTCAGAAACAACCTAAATAGCCAACGATTTGAGATTGGTTAACCTCACTGAGAGAATCCATCTCTGAGCAAAAGTTATCAAGCTGTTAAAATGTGATAGTAGAGAACTGTTTCCAATGTTCTCTGCATCTGTGGTAGTCACATGTACCAAGTATATCAGCAACTTATTTCTTTACGCACAGATATGGGGCAAAATGGAGGAGGTAGGAAGACATGTTTTTATCCGTCATTTAATGAAAAAGTTGTATATCTATCAGGTATCAAAGATGGTAGCCTGAGGACCAGGATGACCAGATGGTACAGAACAATCAAGGAAAGGGAGGGTTAAGGAGCCTGGTATTAAACCCATTTCCTGGAGTTCCAGTAAGATGGTGTCACTGGTGTCTCACTGGAGAGATTAGGGCTCACAGGGTACACAGCAGGAGGCCAAGTGGATTGGAGTTGCCTCTTTTCATTAGATGTTTTGCACTTAAAAAAAAAATGTTATAGGGTGGGATAAGGGGACCCCTACCTGCCAGTTCTAAATAGGTTCTGCCATCTACTGCATCCAAACAAAACATAACTCGTGCTTAAGACTAACTTCAGTGGAATGGAACTTTAATACAATTCATGTGCAAGAAAGACAAGACAAAGACTGTAGTTCCCAAATCCAGCACCCAGTGTCCTCGTGGGTAAGTACCCAGCCAAATAAGGTTGGCCCAAAGCAGGACTTCTGACACTGAAAAGTGTGTCATCAGTCCAAAACACCTTTTGGTGGGGACCCATGGGAAAGTGGCAGAAGCGGCTGGACAAGTCCAGGAAGAAATGAGCAACATAAAGATCATGATAAATGCTGTCATTGTTCCCTTCCCCATGGGTCTCTCACCACCTCTGTTCCAACCAGTCCAGGATCAAGTGCAGCTTCTTCACATGTCTCTGCTCCATGTGCCTCCCCCAGGTCTCCTTCTGGCTCCTTATCTTCTTCCATCCTTCTCCAGTCTCCTCTCCAGCTTCTCCTCCTCTCTGCTCAGCTCTACCCTCACTTGGGTGGAGCAGGGGACCTGAAAATGCTCCTTTTTTCTGGAGCCATCCTGAGACAAAACCAGGGTGGTGCATGTCTGTGTGTTTGATGACGCTGTACCCCAGGGCTGCCTTCACCCAGGGCTCTGGGCCAGCCCTGTGTCATCAAATAACTGTCTCCAAGGAGTCTGGAAATCACTTCATCTTCTGGATGCCCCTGAGCTATCTAGTACTGAAAAATAATTAAGTGATAGCACTCCTCGTTGCCCTGTCCTCAATGCTCAGAAATACAAGTTCATGAACATGTGGGGCAGGGTTCGGGCAAGGGAGCATATGGTTGCTGGGCTGTGGTAACTGGAACCCTAGTTTGTTCTGTGGAATAGGTGGTCAATGATTCACATCCAATCAGCTGACTTGTTCATTCATCATCTATATGAGGTTAATTCAGCCCTAATCCTGGTCTAGGCGCTCAGGATGTCAAGATTAAAAGACAAGATTTGCTAGAGGGACAATGGTCATTGGGGATCAGCAGATGCCAGGACAGCACCAGAGACTCAAGGATGAGTACTTCAGTCCTGCTGTGGGACTACGTCACTGGGTGCTGGGTTTCTCTGTAGCTCCTCTGGGTTATTTTAATTCTTCCTGGGAGCCTCCCTGGTGCTTCGGTGTTGAGTCTCAGGTTATCATGCTATGGCGTGAGCACAATCCCCAGCCAGAGAGCTGACCCACACTGTGCAGCAGTCCTCTCCAGTCTTGCCTGCTGCTCCTCTCTTAGTGGATTTCATTGGATCCACCTTTCTGCTCCCTACTCTGTCTCTGGTGATCCCTCTCACCCCTACCCCCTCCACACCCCTGGCCTGCACCCCAGTTCTTCTACATACACACACACACACACACAAATTCTTCTTTGAATCTTTAGCACTCCGTGGGATGTTTTTCAAGAAATGTCTGAAGATGAAGACATCTGAATCTATTTTTTCAACAAACAGATATCGGGCACATACTGAGTGCCAGGTTCTATGCTGAACTTTTGCAGTCTGGAAAATGCTTGTTACCTAGTAGTGAAGGATGAAGTGGTAAGAATGAGGTCTAGACTCGGTGCAGGTTAAAATATGAGCATTGAGAGGCAGGGTTAAGAAAAGCTGCTTAACAGGATGCCAGGTCCATCTGAGTCAGTGAGTTTGGGAATGGGCAGGTAGGAAGTCAGGAGAAGAAAGGACTGAGACTCTTAGCACCCTGAAGAGATGGAGGTAGGGGTGGAGACAGGCAGAGTGGAGGGGAAGCTGCCCCTTAGGCTTCCTGTGCCCTGTAGTGCCTATGATGCGTTACAGGGCAGGCATTCTGGGCAAGTTGCTTCTTTGCTTTTAGAGGAATTATAGGTCGTTTGGTTTGCCTCCAAGTTACTTACTATGGTACACTCAACTTGTAGCAAGCAATTAAATATGTTATATTTGTAAAACTCATAAAAACATCTGTTCTGGACATCCGGTTCTGGACCTGGTGTTTGTGCTACATAACTTTGTTGAATGAAACTACAGGGTATTCTGTTTCTGAGACTTCTCCAAAATATGTTGGCCTTGGGTTAAATTTTTTTCTCCTTGAATCAGGGGTTTGGGAGGAGCAGGCATGGAGTCCAAGTACCCCAAGGAGTCTCTTCCTCTGTTCTTTTGGTGAGGAAAGAATTGTCGAGACCAGAGTTACAGAAAAGCCAAGTGGTTTGTTGTTGATAGATAAGAGGAAAACTCAACAGAGAAAAGTCCCAAGTAGGTAGCTACGGAGGAGGTGAGAAGCAGGTGCTTAACTGGGTACAGAAGGCAGGGAGTGGGGTTGCCCTTGGATGTCTCTGAGTATGTTTCTTGCTGATTGGATGGGCCTGTGGGGTCTCCCAGGCCACCAAGGCCTGACCACTGAGTTTCCCAGTTTTTCTGCCTACTTTTCTGAAACCAGCTTTGGTCCATTTCTATTGTGCTATTATTTTGCTGTTCTTCACATTCCATTTAAGTTGAATTGGGGTGGTGGGCTCCCTCCTGGTCTGTTGGTTGTCAGTGTTTCTAAGTCAGGCTGATAAATGGACTTATGGCTTGGGGCCCCCTGTTCCAAACTTCCTTCTTCACTGGGACTGTCTACTTTTTCACTTAGGGTGTTCTAGATGCTTTCCATGCTTCAGGCACTATTCACAGCAGCTCAACGTCTCCTCTGCCCACTCATAATGGGCAAACCACAAATGGGGCTGCCAAAGCAGAATGGCCCTCCTGCCAGTCCACTGGGTTGACTAGCAGTTCCTCTCTATCTTGTTAACCGCTGACCTTCAAAACAATTTTAAGCCAGTCCTTTTTGTTGTCTTCCATAGAATTAATTCAGTTAACCTGTGACCTCAAAATAGTAATGCTAGTTGATGTAAGCTTTATGTGCTTTGAATCACATTCTCCTCAGGAGAACCTTGAAAGGACCAGAAAGTTTAAGTGTCCTGCCAGCTGTCAAAGAGTGGATAAGTCAGGAAGAGGAATTTGAACATGAGCATGTGGTTTCAGAGTCTGTGACCAGCACCCATGTCTACCCCTTTTCTTGGTTTAAGCTAGTCATCAAGAGCATTCTTTCAAGACACCAGTCAAGTCTGTGCCTTTGGGCCTCCCTGATGGCCAACTGGTTGTCTCAGTGCTATCACTACTAAGGCCTGAGTCCATCCCAGCCAGGGAGCTGACCCATACAGGGCACAGCAGACTCCCTGTCTCACCTGCTTCTCCCTTTAGTAGTGGATTTAAGTCAATCCTCCTGTTTTGCCCCCCAACTCTGTCTCTGGGGAATCTTCTCATCCCCACCCCCTACCTCTGGACTCCACTCTTACAAGCAAAAAGTAAAAAAAGAAAAAAAAAAGTCTCTGCCTTCACTTGCTTCCCCACAGCTTAGGACACAGCTTGACAAAACCTGATAGAATTACCAACAGATAAACAGAGCACTCTGAATTTTGTCAAATGAACATGTAAAACAAAAATGTTATGAACAAATCAAGTTTATAGTTTATAGATTTAGTTATGTTTATACCTTCTGCACATTTCAGAAAGAAAGCATTCCTTCAAATTTTACCAAAACTTCCTGTTTTATTGCATTTGATCAGCACATGCAGAGCTAATGCCACCATCCAAAATCGATATCTTATATGGAAATAAACCGGGAACAAAATTTTTAAAATTCAGTCTTATAAATGACATCACAGAATGTCCAAACTTCCAATTGTGTGCAAGACTTAGGTTAAGACAAAGCCAAATAAGGCCTTGGAATTGTGCTCAAATCAAGACGTGGGCACTACAGATGGATGAGAACCCTGGGGACAGCCGGGCCTTTGGGGGCTTGGGGACTAGGTGGGCGCCACAGCCTTCTGTTTGGGGAACCCACACCCTCAATTGAAAAGAGAAATAATACCTTTTGCTTCTGTGCCACTCTATGTCTCTTCATCAGTGTCAAACTAGTTTCTTAAAGTTCTCTCTACCCTTGGATAAAACTGATGGCCTGACTTACTTTCCAATTTCTTTTGACAGAAAAAAAGACAAGTATATGAGTCTAACCTCATCCGTGGTGGCCTGCAGCTTGAGGCAACGAGATCGGTAGGTGCCCGTCCCTATTCAGACATCAATTGGCCTTCGCCCTAGAAACCTCACCCCACTGAGAGGCTAGATGGGGTCAGAAACATGCAGCCCCAACCGCAGCTTCGTGGTAGGCTAGAAAGAGGTGTCAATCAAAGTCCACATTATAGAATATATATTTATTTCTGATCAAAACTAGTACCTCTTTTTTCTAGTCCAACAACGTGATAATGCGTATATCTCTCATTATTTTCTTCTTTTAATTGTTATTGCAGAAACAATCACGGATGAACAAATTAGAAAACATAATAGAAAATCAAAATCATCTGTATTTCTTAATGATTATTTTAAAAGATTTATTTTATTTATGCGCATAAGAACTGGGTTATAAGCTGCAGGTGGGGGTGAGGGGGAGGGTGACAGGATTCCCCAGAGACAGAATAGAGAGCAGAACAGACAGATCTACTGAAATTCACTGCTGAAGGGAGCAGTAGGAGAAATAGGAGTGTTCTGCTGCACCCTATGTGGGTCAGCTGCCTGGTCAGGGATGGAACTCAGGCCCTAGTAGCTGGCAATGGCACTGAGACTTACCCCCTGCCCTACTGGGGAGTCCCAATCATCTGTATCTTAATTATCCATAAATAACCTGATACTCTCTGAACTTTTTGTTCCCCAAAAGGGGAGTGATCAATTATTTTTTCCTTTTAATATAGTAAATACATGTCTATATTAATTAATTCTTTTGGCATTCTTTTTAATGGCCACATAGCATATTAAACATATAGATGACAAATAGCCCTCTTTTAGGTTTAAGAAATTTAAAATTTATCCAGATAGTCCCCGGGCAATGAAGACTCTATAGTTTTTATTTTTAATCACTAATTTGGATGGATTGATAGGCAAATTAACAAAGTAGTTTTTCTTCACTTTGTAATTTCATGAAAGAGCTATGATGAGCATGTTAATCACTTTTTCAATAATTCGAATGGAGAAATTATCTTTAAAGCCAAAGTTGTGATGGTTTGCAGATCTAATTTTATTTTATCTTCACTATACCAGGTATCCTGTTTTTATACACATACTTGCATATACTTGAATTACCAGCAACTTAAGCAAAATCTGTTTTAAAATCGTAAAACATTTGTCTGTTTTTCTGATTTGTGTTTTTGTCCTTTCTAGGTTGTGGATGACAAACTTGTGTTTGTAAAAGTACACGCCCCGTGGGACGTGTTATGTGCATATGCTGAGATAATGCACATTAAATTGCCTCTGAGACCCAATGATCTGAAAACTCGGTCCTCAGCCTTCACTAATTTCAACTGGTTCACCAAAGTCCTCCAAGTGAATGAGGATATCATCAAGCCAGAACAAGAGTTTTTCACTGCCCCATTTGAGAAAAGCCGGATGAATGATTTTTACATTCAAGATAAAGATGTCTTTTTCAATCCAGCCACCAGAAGTCGAATTGTAAGTCTAAATCAAATGTAGTTGCTGTTTTGGGGTGCTTGAGAATTTGCTGCTGAGTGATTACTAATTTGTTTAAGTTTTGCTTTCAAATGCTACAAAAAAGAAACAGAAAAGAAACTGGCTACAGCTTTGTGTTACTACAGTAAACAATGATTGGTTCATTTCACTGTATTAATCACATTCTGTTTTGGAATCGTTTTAGGTTTACTTCATCCTCTCTCGGATCGAGTATCAAGTAAGCGGTAACGTTAGTAAGTTTGGGATTAACAAACTTGTAAACTCTGGCATCTACAAGGCAGCTTTTCCTCTCCATGATGTAAGTCAAAGAGCAAAAATAAAATGTAATTTTACTTAATGTATGTTCTGATGTTATAGGGAAAGGCCAATCTTCCTCACATTAAGATTCTTTGGTAAAACGAAGATAGCATATTGCAAGATTGCAAACTCAGGTGGGGCCGGGACTCATGTCCACTGCTGACCTTAAGCACAGAGGTGCCCTCAGTTTCAAAGAGTGAGTGAATGGTGCCCTTCCAGAGTACATGGGTGAACAGTGCGTTCTCAGGTCAGAGTACAGACCTTGGGCTCAAAATGCCCACACCACCTCTTTCTAGCTGGAGTGAGCTAGTGAAAGTCATTTAGCCTCTTTGATCCCCATTTCTTCAGCATAACATGGAAATAATATCTACCTTACTGAGCTCTGAGGATTAATTTGAAATCAATTCATGTCACATGGTCTAAAAATCCTTGCTATTTTTTCTTAACTTTTTGCATAATTAATGACAGATGGCTTTTATCAACCAAAAAAGTCTTAGTTCTTTGTAAGTCTTAGTTCTTTGTAAACTTTCTCAGCTATTTTCTGTAATGGACTTTTCCTGCCCCCCCCCCATACTGTCTTCAAACTTTGTCTGGAATATCACAAAACTTGTTACAATGAAAATATGGCAGATGGCTGACATTTTGTAAGGACTATGTTCTGAAATGAGAGTAACTGTGCAAATTCAAGAGTCTTTTCTCTCACTGATAACATCTCTTAAGAGATGAATTGATTTGAGATGTGACTGCTTCAATGATTTCGCAAGGCATGGATATGATACCTAAGTTATTTAAAATAAGCTTTCTCCCTGACATTAGTATATTATATTGCACTGTTACTTTGTTTCATGTACTCTCATTTTATCTGAATCTCTAAGACCAAAGAATGCTAAAACTGAGGTTGATAGTTGCTACTCTGTATTTGTAAATGGAGACAATTAAAATGCACTGTATGAAATAATAAAACTGGGACATTAAGTGGCTACTGATGCTGCTTCATAAGTAGGGAAAAGAGGTGAAGAACAGTCGCTGAGCTCTCTGGCTATGAGATGCAAATGTCTGTGTGTTTTATATTTGTGCCTCAGCAGAATTATCAATTGTAACACCACTTGGGCCTTTGGAGATACCAGCACAGAGCAGTCCTGAGTTTTAATCTGGGATGCAAAGGTTCCATAGTACTCAGTTGACATCTGTGCATGTCCAGTTCTTTTCCACTAAAGCCTCGTATAATTATGGTGGCCCTATATCCAGGTCAAAGAATGACCTGGATAGTTTTGCAGTGGATCATTAGATATCAGTAACCCTATTAGGGCCTGGCAGCATGATATTCTAGTTCTAGTTCAGAAGGAAGGAAACCGAGGGACATGGGAAGAAGAAAGACTGAATTTGAGCAGATGCTGGGTATTTTATTTCTTGACTAAGCTAAGTGGATAAATGATGTTGCTCCTCTTTGTTGTTTATATTCTACATGTTGTCACAGAAAAGCTGCTGAATTGGGGACAAGGAAGTCTGAGTTTCAGAATGACCCTCAAGGCCTTGACCCAAGGGAGGAGCTGGATAATCAGGGGTTCCTACATTGTGGCTGTTTTTGCTCTTGTAGGACCTTCTTGTAGGACTTGAAGCATCCTTGGGCTCTCACCCAGCCTGTGTTGTGTTTCTCCCAGATGGTAGTGACCACGTGTTCCCATTACCTGCCTAAGCAGATGCCACCAAGGGGTTAGGAATACTCCCTGTTGAGAATTACTGAACATCAGATTGCCTTTTCATTCCTTCCAGCAAATTATGGCCTGTTATTCAGGTCCACAAATGTCTGCGCATAATAAACAGCTCTGTGAACACATGCTGGGGTAATGCATGCTCACTTGTTTGCCTCTGCTTCCCAGTGCAACTTCAGCTGTCCCTCGGAGGAAAATGGCTGCCCAAGTGAAAGGTTCCTGCTGTACAAAGAGTGGGCGCATCCCCGGAGCATCTACAAAAAACAGCCCTTGGACCTCATCAGGTGTGTTGGGCAGAGAGCACTCGAGGCAGGATTGCAGGTTGTGCTCATGGCAGCCAAGTGCCACGGGCCTCAGAGCATTGCCCAGGGGAAGCTTCCCCACCCCTGTAAGGTCAATGCTCAGCGTGGTTATTTATTAATTAATTAGTTTGTTTATGATGCATGCAAGAACTGGGGTGCAGGCTAAAGATGGGGGGGGGGGGAAGGGTATGTGACCAGAGACAGTGAGAAGCAGAATAGGTGGATGTATCTACTGAAACCCATGCTTGAGGGAGTAGTAGGTGAGACTTGAGAGGTGTGCTGTGCCCTATGGGTCAGCTCCCAGGATGGGGATTGTATTCAGGCTGTGCAGGTGACAGTGCTGAGACTTAACTCCTAGCCACCAGCGAGGCCCTTGGTGTGTTTATTGATGCTTCATTTCGTAGATGTGATTGATAAAATTCTTGCTCACATGGCAGTTTCCAGCTCCTTCTCTTCCTGAAGGACATTGAAATACCACACGGCTCAAAGCCCCAGGCTCTGTTACCTAGTGGCGTTTTCTGCCAAGGTCAGTCTCCAGAACTGGCTAAGGACTGAGAGTCACCCCATGGTCATAAACTGTCAGGCGGGGTGGAGGCTCGCACTGTGAATAACCAAGACTAATATGTAGGGAAGTTCCAAGAGTTTAAGATTCTCTCCCAGAGAATCTAGCAACCAAGATTCACCAAATCCTTCATTCACAGAAGTAAATGTTCTCTTTGGCTTAAATTGTGTGGTAAGAGATAGAAAATGCTTGCTGTTTTCCGTATCTGCCGTTAGATAATGTTTCATTGTCTCTTAACAAGATAAAGTGATTAGCTCAGCATTTGTGTCTTCAAAGCACCAACTAAGCTAGTCTGCAAAAGTTTATGTGGTCTAGGGAAGGCTGCTGGAGAGAGGTAAACTAAGGCCAGACAACCAAACAACAATAACGAAATTAGTAACAGGTGGGGGCTGGGAAGATGAGTCAGGAAAGATATCGTCAGCAGAAGAATTAGAAACAGAGACCTGGGTAGTAAAAAGAAGTAGTGCTTTGAAGATTTGAAAGAAGTCATTCTAGGGGGAGCTTGTACACAGCCCTGAGGCATAAATACACTTGTGAGGTTGGAGGAAATAGCCAAGACTGGTGGTAATTAGAAGGAGAATGGGGAGGTAGAAGCTTAAAAGTATGTCAGGAGCATGAAAGGCAATTTAGACTTTAAGTGCAATGAGAATCGTTCGTGATATTTTAAGCATTCCAGGAATTTTATCTTGTTCCTATTTTGCAATGACTATGGGGAGAATGGGCTCCACAGGCCACAGGAAGCTGGAGACCCCTCTCCTCTACAGTCTGGAGGCGAGACTGTGGGAGCCAGTTTGGAATGTGTTTTAGGGGAGAGTGCACAGGTCTTGTTATGAACTGAATACGTGGGGGATGAGAAGGAGAGAGCGAAGATATTCCCAGGTCTGACTACAGCTTTCTGCCTCTTTTTTCTACCATAGTTCTCTGTCCCTTGCAATCTCCCATCTACTGGAAAAAGCCTCTTAACCTTAAAAGAGAATTTTATAATGGTGAATAGTTTTTGTTTTGTTTTCCATTTTACTTGTGGGAAATTTCAAACATAGAACAAGAAGTAACAGCACAGCAAACATGCATATACCGGTGACCCACCTCCAAAAAGCATTAACTCATAACCAGTCTCTTTTTATCTTTTTCTCTACCTCCTTCCCTTTCCCTCCACCCTGAACCATTTTGAAGAAATGCTAAGTATATCTTGGCATTAGTATCTATTTCTAAATGATAAGGTGTCTTTTAAAACAACCAGAATATTCATTAAAATATTTCATCAAATAATTAATATTGAGATTTCCCTGATTGTCACAAAAATATTTTCAGTAGGTTTTTTTTTTCTTTTTTGTTTCAAATCAGAAATCCAAACAAGATTCAGATGTTATGATCAAATATCTTCCATAAGTTTGCCCAGTTTCTTGTTTTCCTTAAAATTTTTAAGAATTTCTTCATTCTCTATTTTGCTGATTTTACTTACCCTATAATGATGTTGGATTGTTGCTTAAACTAAGTAATTTGATCCTTATCTAAACACATAATTTATTGACCTTATGGAAGAACACTTGCTATTTGGAGTTACATCCTTTTCTATCGGAAGACAGTGTCCAGTTTTTGCGGGTTTTTTTTTTTTTAAAGATTTATTTATTTATTCATACAGAATGGGGTACAGGCCAGAGATGCGGAGGGCGAGAGGATTCACCAGAGACAGAGTGGGGAGCAGAACAGGCTGATTGACGAAGTACACTGCTGAGGGGAGCAGCAGGCGGACCAGGAGAGGTCTGCCTGTGCCATGTAGGTCACCTCCCAGGCAGGGATTGAACTCATGCTGAAGTTGCTTTAGCTTCTTACTACTGTGCTTTAACCCACTGCACCACCAGGGAGGGCCCTGTTTCGTTTTGTTTTGTTTTTTTAATTTGTTTGTTTTCTTTTTGCAGAGAGCTTGGGTACAGTCCAGAGGTGGGGGGTGAGGGGAGCGTGGGTAGTGAGAGGATTCTGCAAAAACAGTAGGGAGCAGAACTAACAGATCGACTGAAATCCACTGCTGAAGGAAGCAGCAGAGACAAGAGAGGTCTACTGCACCCTTCGTGGGTCAGCTCCCTGACCGGAGATTGGACTCAGGCCTTAGCTGTGATAATGTTGAGACTCAACCCCTAGGCCACCAGGGAGGCCCCTGCCTCTCTTTTTTGATAATAGCAACAATAATGTACATTGCTTATATTCATTATTTTATAAAAGGTTTCATTTTGTTTAGCTATACTCTAATTTCTTGCTTCATTTATTAGCCAGGTTACAATGACAAAGTTACAATTTTTTTCTCACTCTGATTATCCTGTGTAATAAAATTTTAAGAAGCTGCGTATATATGTAATATTAAAGCTGACATTCACATGTTTTCCCTGTGAACAATTTCCTATTATATTAAACCCTTAAGTTGTGATAACAGACCTATGGATATGATAGGTTCCAATCTCTCTTCATGGCATATTTTGTAGAGAAAATAATCTTACCTACTCTTTTAAGTATACTTTAATAGGAAAATATAACTAGCTATTCATGCCCCTGGTTCATATACTCCCTCCTTTTTTTCTTATACAAAACCCCTTGAACCTTCAGGCTCTAATATCTTCATCTGTGTTACCCAGGAATTATCAGAAAGGAAAATGAGTTATTTTCCAAAAAACAAACCAGAGAGAACAGCCTGAAGGAAACATACTTTACAGAGAAAAAAAGGGAAGGAAGGCTATTGCTTTATAATTTTTTAATGTAGCTATGTCAAAAGTGTGGAAGCAGTGGAGGTGTGGATGTGTAGAGGATGGAGTTGAGAGAGTTGAATCTTCATTTTTAAAAGTAAAAAGTCAGGGCCCTCCCTGGTGGCGCAGCAGGTTAAAGCACAGCACTAAGAAGCTAAAGCCACTTCAGCATGAGTTCAATTCCCACCCACCCTGGAGGTGTTCCACATGGCGTGCAGACCTCTCCTGACCTGCCCACTGTTCCCCTCAGCAGTGCACTAACTCAGTCGGCCTGTTCTGCACCCCCAGTGTCTCTAGTGAATCCTCTTGCCACCCTCGCACCTCTGGCCTATACCCAGTTCTGTATGCATAAATAAATAAATCTTAAAAAAAAAAAAAGTAGAAAGTCAGTAGATGAGACATAAAATTGCAGAAATCAGCAAGTAATACTATCATAGTGCTATTTTCAGACATGGTGGTAAAAAGTCAAAGAATCCTTGTAAGGATTGAAAGTGATTGTAACTGGGCAGCAGGAAATGGAGTAAGTTCCTGGGAATTGCTCCTCATTCTTCTAGAAATCTGTGACTCTTTAATGAATGTTCCCTATAACTTTTTTTTTCCTGTCTTTTTTTTTTTTTAAGATTTATTTATTTGTACATACAGAACTGGGGCACAGGCCAGAGGTTCAGGGGTGGTGAGAGGCCCCACCAGAGACAGAGTAGGAAGCAGAACAGACAGAGTAGGAAGCAGAACAGGCAGATCCACGAAGCACATTGCTGAGGGGAACAGTGGCCTGGCCAGGAGAGGTCTGCCATGCCATGTGGTCACCTCCGGGGCAGGCAGGAATCGAACTCATGCGGAAGTGGCTCCAGCTTCTTAGTGCTATGCTCTAACCTGCTGTGCCACCAGGGAGGGCCTGTTCCCTATAACTTTGATAAAAAATCAAAGAATTTTTAAAAATTGGTGTAGATCATGTTGGGGTTTCATAAGTCTCAACACTGTCACTGCTATAGTCTGAGTTTAATCCCTGGCCAGGGAGCTGCCCACATGGTACAGGAGACCTCTCCTATCTTACCCACTGCTCCCCTCAACAGTAGATTTCAGTAGAACTCGCTCTCTATTTTGTCTCTGGTGAATCCTCTTACACATCCCATACCTCTAGTCTGCACCCCAGTTCTAAGCAAAAAAAAAAAAAAAAGAATTGGGATATTTTTGGTATTTTTGGTAGAGAGGGTCAATGATACCACATTACATTACATCATTATTCCCAGTCTTTCAGCAAGTTCAAGGAGGCTGACTTCTGTGTAAGATTGAAATTTGTCCTGATTTTCATGCCTGCGGGATTACCAGGGATACCTTTGGAAGTAACAAACACCCTGCGCTGTAGACATCTAGAGGCTCCTAAATGTGTAGGATGTTCCTACTCTTGGTGATTAAAGCAGTGAACTCCAACAGCTGGGACACAGGTCTATGGGTCCTCACTTAAGTGCTCACAATGGCAAGACCCCACTCAGGCTCAGGGTGCAACCACATTGGGGGGATATAGGGAGAAAGGAAAGAGTCTCTGAGGCCACAAGTGGTCTGCTCTCTCACCGCAAAGAGGAGGAATTATAACCTGTTCGTTACATGTACACACTTGGTAGGATTAATACATTAATAATAAATACATAAAAAAATTTAATTCCACCAAAGATATTTGCTGGTAACACACTTGTGATATGCTAAGCGTAGTATTCATTTGCTGTGTCAAAATAATAAAATGTTGGAAGATGATTCATAACTTAGGACTAAAAAAAGAAAAGGATAAATAAGAAATATCCTCTGGGGAAAGTCTTTTTATAGACCGTTGTAACCCATGACATTTCTAGGCCTTGACTGATCTTGTCTCTGCCGGACTCTGAGCTATTTACCTGACAGCAGGAGCCCATTCCTGTGAACGTGGACTCAGTTCCTTTCTCTGAGCTCGCCCTTCTCCTATGATGTTTCTTTCTCCCAGGCCGATAGCCCCTGGGGCTGGTCTCATGTCCTATGATGCTGGACCAAGTTTGGGGTGTTCCTGCCCAGAGTGTCTCAGGTCTCCAGGTTGTTCTCAGAGCCAAGTTTTCACTAGGCTAAGACCAAGGGGTTCAGGTCAGTGTCATACCATAGGCCTCCACTAGAAAAACCTTCAAGGATCAGTAGAACCAACCCTGCAGGGATCAGTAGAAGTGAATCAGTCCAGCAAGCACAGTAGTTACTAAGTAGTTCCCTAAGCTAATCGTCTCATTGTTTTCTCCTCACCCATAGCCCTTACTCTTTCCCTACGTATATTTTTCTTGAATAGTCATCATATAGTCATCATCATTTCATGCCCTGCCTTTAATTTTTTTAAAGATTTGTTTATTAATGTTTATAAGAGCTGGGGTACAGGCCAGAGGTGTGGGGGTGAGAGGATTCACCAGAGACACAGTGGGGAGCAGAATAGGCAGATTCTGCTGAAACCCATTGCTGAGGGGAGACAGGAGAGGTCTGATGCGCCCTTTGTGGGTCAGCTCCCTGGCCAGGGATCCAGCTCAGGCTGTAGTGGTGATGGTGCTGAGACTTCTAGGCCACTAGGTGTGACCTGCCTTTTCTTAATCTTGCTTGCCTGGCTGCCTCCTTTTGACCTCAGAGGACATGTGTCCCCTTAACAGAAACAGAAGTGCTGGAAATAATTTTTTCGAGACTAAGTAAAAAGTGCTGGTTTGTACCCAAAAAATCATGGCACTCTCCTCTGCTCCGTAGTCAGCGTTTCCCTTCATTGTCTCCTTTGCTGTCTTCTAACTTACTTTGCTCCAGTGGGAAACACAGGGTGTGTCACTCCTCAGTCCCATCCATCCTGCCCATTCTCATATTTTGGTTAGAGGGAAATTCCATTTCTCATATTTTTAGGATCAGCTTCTTGTTATTGTTTGGAGTTTACATTACACTTCCTCCCCTGATGTTCCCTAAAATTAGCACAGTGGGTAAGTGGGCAGACTGTTCGTGTAAATCACCTTCATGCATATTAAGAATAATTTTCTCAAGAATAGGTAAAAAGTGCTGTTCTCTAGCAAGACACATCATGGTGATCTCTGCTCCGTAGTCAGCATTTCCCTTTGTCTTCTCCTTTGCTCTCTTCTCACTTATTTTGTTTCAATGGGCTAATAACAGTGATGGTGGACTGTGGGGCCGGTCTGAAACTGAGTGTGTTCTAAGTGTGCATGAAGTCAGAGGTTTAAGCTGAAAACATCCTTCATTTAAAATCAGAAGTTACTGAGGCTATAGAGAGACTGTGTCTTCTAAAGATAATTTTGTCTTTTTTCAGGAAATATTACGGAGAGAAGATTGGAATCTATTTTGCTTGGCTGGGCTACTACACTAAGATGCTGCTCCTGGCTGCAGTGGTGGGGGTGGCCTGCTTCCTGTACGGGCTCATCAATCAAAACAACTGCACGTGGAGGTAACCCCTGCGTTGCTTGTTACCAAGTGGAAAAGTTGGTCAATGTTTCCGTGAAAGAATGTTCGTTGCAGAATCTTTTTTTTTTCTTCTTTTTACGTAAAAGAACTGGGGTATAGGCCAGAGATGTGGGGGGTGAGAGGATTCATCAGAGACAGAGTGAGGAGCAGGACAGGTTGAAATCCACAGTGGAGGGGAGCAGTAGGTGAGACAGGAAGCATGCCAGCTTTCTGGTCCAGGATCCAACTCAGGTCATAGAGGTAATAGAGCTGAGACCCATTGCTGAATCCTTATTGCTTTGATGAGATATCATTTTATTCTTAGTACAGTAACTAAGTGAAATGGGTAAAAACAATTGTGTTAGAGGGCCCTCCCTGGTGGCACAGTGGGTTAAAGCACAGCACCAGGAAGCTGAAACCACTTCCACATGAGTTCGATCCCGCCTGCCCCGGAGGTGACCACATGGCGCGGCAGACCTCTCCTGACCCACCCGCTGCTCGCCTCAGCAGTGTACTTCGTCAATCTGCCTGTTCTGTTCCCCGCTCTGTCTCTGGTGAAGTCTTTCGCCACCCCTGAGTCTCTGGCCTGTACCCCAGTTCTGTATGCACAAATAAATCTTTAAAAAAAAAAAAAAACAATTGTGTTAGATAAGGTAGCCTCATCTTTGTGTGGAATATCACCCTTTGGAAACACTCCAATATTTTGAGACAATACTTTGTTTAAATAAGAGAGGAGTACTGGAGAGAGGGTTGTCCTTGAACTTCTGTCCCTCATAGCAATGCTTCTCAGTTCTGTGGATGGGGACCAGGGGCAGCTCTTGATTTCTTTAGCATTTTAGTGGCAAAACTAATAAAATTGATATTTGTTTGCTTTTAGAAGTGACCTCTCAATAGTTAAGAAATATGTATTTAAATGCAGAGAAAACAAAAAAGGAATCAGGAAAAAAAAGTTACTATAATAAAGTAAAAATCAAAATCATCAGGCAGCTGAGGTCGGAGACAGTCTGAAGAGGAGGAGGAGGGCGAAGGACCAGGACAGGTGGGAAAGGGCGAAGGACCAGGACAGGTGGGAGTGTACAAGGGGCTATGTGAGGGTGCACAGGGGACTTGGTGGGGGACTTTTACGGGGACACCATACATTGTACAAACATGAAGGGTGGTGTAATGAATATATTTTAAAAATTGTAAAAACTCAAGTAAACAGTATTCATTTTGTTTCGTATTTATTTTGCTTTCAAAAATAACCCTTAAAATGGCAGGAGAAAAAACAAATGATAGTGAATTAGCTCATGCTTGATGTTGGAATTCACACGCCAGCAGCGCTGTCTGAAGGGAAATGCCTGGGCGCCAGAACACGCTTAAGGCCAGGATACCTGCCTGAGCGGTTACTCTCCCTCTGCCTTTGGTGCTCTCAGCCTCCAGAAGATTGTGCAGCACTGAGACCCAGGCATCTCTCTAGGTCCGCTGGCCTCTATCCAGGTGTGACAAGCAGATTAAAATGTGTGGGCACCAGCAATGAGAGCTTGACCAAAATTTTACCACCCAAACATCTCAGCCTGACGCCTGCCTCGGGATTGCAGGCAGCCCCGTGCACAGCATGATACCCGCCCACGTGACACAGGACTCCCAGCCTTCTGAGCCCTCTGGTTTCTCAGCCAGGAAGATGCACTCATCTTGGAAGGTCGCTCCTTTCTCCTGCAAACAAGTTTACATTTACATCAGCCACAGGCTGATGTTAATCCTTTCTATCAAAATTTGTCTTTGACTTCCACTGCTTTGCATTTTCTTCCAGCCAAAAAAGAAAGGCATCTCAAAAATATACTTTCAAAATAAAAAACTTGGGTTTCATCAGTCCCCTGCATAGTGCCTCTTATTATAATTCACTTCTTAAACTACTATGTTTCTTACTATTTTTTCACACAGCTTAATTTACAGAAAATTAAGGATCTACTCCCTATGCTCAGACTATTTAAGCTTTAATTATAAATATTTTAAAATATATTTGGGGGTGTACTATATTTATATATACTTTATATATTATATATAAATATATATCTATATATTAGATATAAATATATGTATATATTTATATACTGTTCTTGTATGTATTTTATAAATATATTTATACATTTTAAATATTAAACATATTTAAAATATCAGATATGTAAATATTTAATATTAAAAACACATATTAAATATATTTAAAATAATAAAAATATTGTGTTATTTGAAGAACAAAAGTTTTTAATTTTAGAGTGCTCCGGTTTACCCATAATAAAATAGGAAACAACTAGGCATATGGAACACAGACTCCAGTGTCTATCCATGATAAAGAATACAGACTTTAAAGAATTAGTGCAGAAATGTAACTAATACATGTATTCCACATATACATCACATATTTGTATATTATATTTTTTAAATGCAGTAAAGTACATTCATTGTTAACATTTAGGTTGCCTGCACTTTCTGTCTAGGTAAATCATTATGTTATGAACATTTCATGTACAAGTTTTTGTGTGAATAGTTATTTTAAATTTTCTTGAGAATATGTTAGGTTGCAGATCTTAAAGATCAGATTTTCCCTCTCTTTAGGGTTTGTTGTTGCTTTGTTGCTATTGTTACTCCTGCTGCTGCTATTCATTTAGTTACATTTCTGCACTAATTCTTTAAAGGTATTCTTAATCATGGATAGACACTGGAGTCTGTGTTCAATATGCCTCGTTGTTTCCTCAAGGTTAGACAGTGATTTCTTTAGATTCCTGAACCCAGTCATTCTTTGAGCCCCTGCCAAGTGCCTCTGAGTTTACATGTTGGAATGTCTTCAGCTCTCCCAACGGGCAGCTTGCCTTCCTCCTTAGACTTTACTTCTTGCTTTTGCAGAACCTTAAAGTCAGTCAGGGGTAAGAGGGATTAAAGTTTTCTTAAGTTTTTTTCCTAACCATGTGCACTGTCCTGCATTTGCCTGTGACCTTCTACAATCCAAGGAATTTGTTAGTTTTTTAAATCTCCCTATGGACCATTCAGTCCCGAACTTTTCTTTCAAGGTCATCTTGTACCACTGCTTCAGCAGTTGCAGTATTTTTATTTATTTATTTAAATATATATACATATATATGTAAATATATGTTTATGTATTTATATATTTATATATGTATCAATGTGCTAATATATATGTAAATATATATTTACGTTATTGTTCATTTTATAGCAATGTTTACTTCCCCCTGCCACACCCATCATCCCCATAGTCCCCCACATTCCTCCCTCCTTCTGATCCCTCTCTGTCCCCCTCCCTTGTAGGATCTCTCTGGTTTATAATTGTCTGTTTTTGTATTTTTTGTGTGTTTTATATTGTAATAACAATACACCCTTTTCTTTCCCCTGTCTTATTTGGTTCTCTTAAATTCCTCCTATAAGTGAAACCATTCGATATTTTTCTGTTTCCTTCTGACTTTTTTCACTGAGCATAGTCCCTTCCAGCTCCAACCATGTTGCTGTGAATGGCATGAATTTATCTTTTGATCACTGAGTACTATTCCATTGTATATATACCACATCTTCTGAATACAGTCATCTAGTTTTGGGCATTTGGGTTGTTTCCAGGACTTACCTATTGTAAGCAGTGCTGCGATAAACATAGGGGTGCATATATCTTTTTGAATTAATGTTTTCTTGTCCTTTGGGTAGATCCCTAGGAGTGGAATTGCTGGGTCATATGGTAGCTCCATTTTTAGTAGTCTGAGGAATCTCCATACAGCTTTCCATAGTGGTTGGACCAGTTTGCATTTTCACCAGCAGTGGAGGAGAGTTCCTTTTCTACTGCTTTCTGGCTAATGTTTGTTGTTAGTTTTTTTGTTTTGTTTTGTTTTGTTTTGTTTTTGATATGTGCCAATTTCACTGGTGTGAGGTGGGATCTCATTGTGGTTTCGATTTGCATTTCCCTGATTGTGAGGAATGTTGGGCATTTTTTCATCTGCCTGTTGGCCATTTGCAATTCTTCTTTGGATAAGTGTCTTTTAAGTTCTGCCCATTTCTTGACTGGGTTGTTTGTTTTGTTTCTGTTGAGCTCTAGTATATATTTTTGTGATCAGTCCCTTGTCTGTTGTATGGAGTGCAAAGATTATTTCCCAGTCAGTAGGGTGTCTCTTTGTCTTAGATAATGTATCTTTTGCTGTTCAGAAAATTTTCAGATTGATGTAGTCCCATGTGTTTATCTTTTCCTTCCTTTTCTTTGCTTTGGATGAAGAGTCTTTAAATATGTTGTTGAGATGTAGGTCTTGTAGTGTTTTACCTGTATTTTCTTCTGTGTATTTTATGGTTTTGGGTCTTATGCCCAAATATTTTATTAATTTTGAGTTGATTTTCATGCATGGGGTGAGATAGTGGTCTAGTTTCATTTTTTTGTTTATGCTTGTCCAGTTTTACCAGCACCATTTGTTAAATAAATTGTCCTTGTTATATTGCATATTCTTTGCTCCTTTCTCAAAGATTAATTGTCCATAAAGGTGTGGGTTTATTTCTGGGCTTTCTATTTAGTTCCATTGGTCTGTGTGTCTGTTTTTGTCCCAGTACCACACTTTTTAAGTACTATGGCTTTTTTAGTATAGATTGAAATCTGGAAGAGTGATACCTCCTCTTTTTTCCTTTGTTTTCATCAGTAGAAATTTGGCTATTCTTGGTTTTCTGTAGTTCCATATGAATTTCATCAGTGTTCTATTTCTTTGAAGAATGTCAAAAGGCCTGCAAATTACACAACTCTAGCCCCTTGGCCTGAGTGCATTGGAACGATTTCTAGTGGAGAATAGATTGCTACCTACTGTTAGTTTAGTTTTTTTCTCATTAATATGTAGGAGTCCTTTAAATACCCTGGTATTTAAACAACAGTATAGCCCTTGTTATTTTTATGTGTTGCAAAATTTCTACCAGGTTGCAGCTAGTCTTTTCCCTCTCTATATATCTTCTGTTAGTTATTTCACTTAAAATACTTTTTTAATATATTAGTACTTTCCTTTGAGTTTCTCATTTATGGAATTTCTTCTTACCACTAAGTTATCTAGATATTTTCCTATGTTTTTTTCTAATAATTTGGTACTGATGAATTCTTATTTTCCACCTGGAATTTATTTAATTTGTCTGTAAGATTTAGGGGTTCAATTTCATACTTTTCCATATGGATATTCCATTGCACTGTCCATGAATTGAAATGCCATCTTTCACATTTCTGATTTGATGTACAGTCCAATCATAGGTTTTGTATATTCGCAAGTCTCTCTCTGAGCTCTTACTTGTTCCCTTGCAATTTTTCTTAACCAGTGCCAGTAGGGCTTTCTTCTTTAATGTTTTGGCTACTCAAAGTCCTTTTCTCTCTTACTGAATTTACAGCTCGAATGGGGTAGAATGATATATTTAAATATTGATTCTTCCAAATTACAAACATGATAACACATTCATTTATAAAGATTTGTTCACTCTTTCAGAGCAGTTTTACTATGTTGTCTATATAAATCTTATGCATCTTATGTATAGGATTTTGAATTGATCCTATACTCTGTATCTTTTAAGTTATCGAGAAATAGTATTTTTAAAAGTCCTGGCCCTCCCTGGTGGCGCAGCGGGTTAAAGCACAGCACAAAGAAGCAAAGGCCACTTCTGCATAGTTCGATCCCTGCCTGCCCTGGAGGTGACCACATGGCGCGGCAGACCTCTCCTGACCCTCCCGCTGCTCCCCTCAGCAGTGTACTTCGTCGATCTGCCTGTTCTGCTCCCCACTCTCTCTGGTGAAGCCTCTCACCCTCCACATCTCTGGCCTGTACCCCAGTTCTATATGAATAAATAAATAAATAAATAAATAAAAAAGTCCTAATATTGCAAGCCCATAAGGACATAGTTTTTTTTTTTGTCACCCTATATATATTTTGTATGTCGATCTGTTTCTCAGAAAATTTACTAATGTCACTTATTTTCATAGTTTATCTAGGTTCTGTTGCATTGTCTATATTGACAATAATGTAACCTCTTAGAAGTAGCAGTTTCCTTTCTTCCTTGCCAACCCTCCTGTCTTTTTTGTTTGGCTGGTTGGTTTTTTTTGGTGACTTACATTGTGCAGTCAAGAGCTTCCAACTGAAAAGAAGTGATGATGCACTCCTTTGTCTTCTTTCTGATGTAAAGGGAATATTTTCAGCATTTTACCACTAAATATATTTTTACAGGTTTTATATAGGAAGCATTTATTATTTATGATTAATGAAATTCGCTTTGGGGCTTTCCTTGGTGGCACAGCGGGCTAAAGTGTAACACTAAGAAGCTAAAGCCACTTCAGCATGAGTTCGATCCCTGCCCCAGAGGTGACCACATGGCGTAGCAGACCTCTCGTGACCTGCCTGTTCTGCTCTCCACTCTGTCTCTGGTTGAATCCTCTCACGGCCCCTACACCTCTGACCTGTACCCCAGTTCTGTATGCATAAATAAATAAATCTTTTTGAAAAGAAAAGAAATTCGCTTCTATTCCTAGTTTTATAAGAATTTAGTTTTATTGGAATCTTACAGTTTGGTCTTATAGACTAGTAGAAAGAAAGTTCTTTCATTCAAATTTTTATAACTAAATTTTCTTTTCTTTAGCAAAGAAGTTTGTAATCCTGATATTGGTGGCAAGATAATAATGTGCCCTCAGTGTGACAGACTCTGTCCTTTCTGGAAACTCAACATCACTTGTGAGTCCTCAAAGGTAAGTTTTATTTTTCCAAACACTCATAAGTCACAAAAGGTATCTTTTCTTCTGATATTTTTATCCCCGCCCCTACTCCTCCACCACAGAATTCTAAACCTCCAAACATTCTAAAAGTAGATCTGATTATCTCTCTTTTACAAATAAAAAAATCAGATCAAAATTTTTAAATCTCCCAGAGGGTCAAATGTGGAATGGTGAAATTGAAACTACTTCAGTATTTCAAGTAATCAAAGCAGAAATCTCATGGATACTATTTAATGGGTTTTACTATTGAAAGTACTTTTTAAGTGACTGGAAACCTGAAATTTGTACTTGTGTTTTTCCCACTTTAAGGAATGCTAAAATTATGCTTCATTTTTTAAAGGCCCTCCTGGTCAGATCTATACTGTATCTGAAAATATGGGTATAAAAGGATTTTATAGATGACAGACATTTACTTTGCCTCAAAACACTTAGGAGATAAAGGATGAGTATTCAGAGAAGTGTTGGGGGAGGCAGAAGGGGGTCGGGGGGGGGGGTACTGAAAGGTACTCCAGGTATCTAGACAGGAAGGTTGGTCAACTTGCTTTGGAGAACATTCGTGAACACTCTGACATTCTTTTGATCTTTCCTCCATCCACCCTGTCCTGCCATGAAAGTTTAGGAAATTTTCTATAACCTCAGAATATTCTGATCTACATGTAAGTTCTTATTTTAACTGAATCATTGTTATTTTATACCTTGCAAAGTTCTTGTACTTACGATTTTACCACTTAAAGCATCCCTGTGAGATAGACATAGCAGGTATTATTTCCATTTTACAGATTAAAGCATTGGGGATCTGATATTAAACAATTACATTTAAAGTGACACTCTCATCAAAACCATAAAATATGAGCAAATGTGTGTTTCTTGCCTTTACTGGTCTTCTCACCAGCTGGCAGTAGTACTGGGCTCTTCACTCTTAAATTGAATTTTATGTTTGAAATTTTCCCCCACCACTTATTTAAGATGATTTCAGAATATTGGCAACATGTGGGTAGGCTTTTACACTTGATTTTTTAGTTACAATGGATTTTATTATCCCCACCCCAACCAAGCACAAATTCAAGATTATAAGTACCTATCATAGATTACAGAAAGAACAAGACTTGATGTTGGTAATAAGGAGCTGCTTCCAGTGATGCTGAGTCATAAGGGTCACCAGTTAGTATGTGTTGTCAGTCACTGGATTTAGGTGTATACCACCAATAATACCAGAGGCAAATTATACTCCACAAAGTACAACTGGAAATGTCATTTTTGTTAAGAAATTCTATCACACTCCCTTCCCATCTCTTCTCTTGTTTATTCTTCTCCACTTATTCTACTGTAAGCACCTGACTTTCAAATATGTTCCTGTCTGTGTACATATTATTTCTATTGTTTTGGAAAAAAAAAAAAGGACTCTATTCCAGTTTCCTGAAGAATCTTTTTTTGGGGAAAGAGATGGAATATTTACTAACCAACATGGGTATTAAAAGGATTAACAGGCCCTCCCTGGTGGCGCAGCGGGTTAAAGCACAGCACTGAGAATCTAAAGCCGCTTCCGCATGAGTTCGATTCCCGCCTG